TATATATATATAGGCCATAGATCTTTACACACCTAAAAGTAAAGACAAGAGCGAGAGGAACACGTTAACACAGTCATGGTAATATGTGTGGTATCTGTAAAAGATTCACACTTATAACAACATGCCACTCTTCATTCCAGTTACCCAAAGGGTCTAATTTGATCCTTTTACTTAAAAATAAAAACAATATTAACATCAAATCTAAAAACCCAAATACCTCATTAACAAACAAAATTAGATCAGTTAACCTCAAAACTGTTTCGAGTGACTAAATCTCTAAAATGTTGATAATCAAATGAAATAACAAAATGAAGAATACCATAGCCGTTCATTAAATGTGTGATTATAGTGAAAATTACCTCTTATTATTACTGTAATAATAAGAGGTATTTAATATGACCTTAATATTAATATTATTGTTGTGGTGTTCATTGTTTTGCTTGGCTGATTGTTTGTTCTTAACGAAAGCTTTAAGATTAATTTAAAATGAATATAAAATAAACTCGAATCAATATTTCATATCTGTTTCATATCCTGATGGAACACAGACTGGCTGCTGCAGGTACTGATCATACAGGCAGCGTGTGTGCGCGTCAACTTGGGCTCAGTCCTCTTCAGGTTCATCAGGAAGGTCTGTGTTGACTGGTCCACGTTCAATCAGGCTCACACTGCAGCACGGGAGTTGTAATGTTTAGATGGATTTAGGATAGTGTAGGGGTCCCTGAGCAATATATCTGAGGATCATTTTGGAACATTTAATAGGAAAAATGAATCTATTTGCTCATGTTTGCAGTTGTGCACATAAAATACTCACTGGATATTGAAGTGCTGGAGTAGTATAGCCAGGCTCTCACAAGCACCCTCTACTGCAAATTTGCTACCATTCAACCTCATTGAATGGTAGTCCTGAGTATCAGACAGAGAACATTTATTTATTTTTAAATTAATTTCTTTCTTTCTTTCTTTCAAACTGTATGTTTATTTCTTGTTGCAAGCAATCTAACAACATTTACTGAGGTTTAAGCTCAAAACAAGGCAGAAAAAACTATTTGCCAAGATTGTAAGAAAAATAAACTTAATTTAAGAGATATTCTCTGAAAATAATTTTTTTACTTAAAAAAAAAAAAATTATAATTTTACACTTATTTTGTAGTTGTGCTTCATACGTAAATTCATCTTATTTTATGGATCTCGTTTCCTTTGGCTTGTTCAGTTGGGATTTAAAAGACAATTCATATTATATTAATAGTAGTATTATTGATTCATCTGCACTGACACTATTTAATAAAATAATTTGAATTAAGCTGGATAATGACACTAACCCTGTAATATTAACACTTATCGAACTGAACTAAATCAACACTGAACAGAAATTAAGCTAAATAAAAACACTATTGGCTTCTGTAGAGCTGCTATACAACTGACACTGAATTTGTTTCATAATAGATTAATTCTGCAACATTGACACTATTATTTTCCTGTTTATTACTGTGAAGCTGATTTGACAATCGGTGTTGTATAAAGCGCTATATCCTCCGATGCTGCCGGTCACAAGGATTCGACCATGTCTCTTTCTCTTCATGTCTGGTAGGAAGGTCTGTATGGTGCGGAGGGTGCACAGCAGATTGACATCCAGCATTCCATGTATAGTTTCCAGTGAGTTTCCAGAGGACCCATCAGACCTACACTTGCATTACAAACTAACACAAAGATATTGGGAGGGAATTAATTAAATAATTGATCCCTTAAAACATGGGTTTATACATATATTCTATGTTAGCAGTGAATTTAAAGGTGCCTGTTCATTTGGGCTTTTAACCTTGCATTTATACAAACTTTTTCCCTTTGAAAGGCCAGAATGTCTTTCTTTCTCTTACCTATACACTCTTAAAAATAAAGGTGCTTCAAAAGGTTCTTCAAGCGATGCCATTTTTGGTTCCACAAAGAACCATTCAGTCAAAGGTTCTTTAAAGAACCATCTCTTTCTTACCTTTTTGTAATCTGAAGAACCTTCTTTCGCCACAAAGAGAACCTTTTGTGAAACAGAAAGGTCCTTTAGATGTTAAAGGTTCTTTATGGAACCATTTAGACAAAAAGGTTCTTCTATGGCATCGTGAAGCACCTTTATTTTTAAGAGTGTATGTCAATTCTGCCCTCTGTAACATTTCTTTAAGCATCAAGTATAGACTGCTGCTCTGTCACATCCATCTGTAGTATGGCCATAGTGTCTTTATGCAGTCCTCTCACACTCTCCAAAAGCCGCTGCTTCTTGTCCAGGTTCCATATGGTAGCATAGACTAAACATATATAGTCAATCATATAGTGATTATAACTACACACAAGGTAGACTTTTCACTAAAGTTAACTGTAATTTTCATATATATATACATGCATATAAACTCTGAGTAAATTAAAAAGAACCATACAAATGCATTGTTTTGCGTCACATCAGTTACCTTTGTAGGCTTTTGACGGGTTTGATGCGAGATGCACTGCCAGGCTGAGTCCAATCCCTGAAGAGCATCCAGTAATAAGAACAACTTTCTGCTCAATTTGTGCAATAAAACATCAGTCCACAACACCAACGAGACAAGCGCTGCAGTGGTGCTCTGAGGTTGAATTCATGTGGTCCGTCTAACTGCTGTGTCTCTGATTCAAGTGTTTTAGCTTTCTCTGCTATCACAAGGCCAGCTTGGTGTAAACATTCTTTCACACTCTTTTTTTTTTTTCACTCAGCAGGTGCAACTCAAAATCAATCATTTGATTGTGGAAATAAATAAGATTTTTTTTATATTTTCATCAGTGCTGTGAAAAAATCTGTGGTTCATTTGATGCCACAAAAGCATGGTATCAACTTCATTATAGACATTCATTTTAAAGTGTTAAGTGAGTGGAGACTCACTGTCGGGTCAACACCTAGACCTAATCCCTTTTCCTATTCCGCTTGGGTTTGGTAATGGCTAAATTAATATATTAAAAAAGCAAGTTGATGTCACGAGGTGTTAACCCTAAATCTTGCCCTTTTTTCTTAAAAGAGAATTTTAAGACTTTTCTTTGGCGAGTCTGACAAAGCTGAAGACAGACCAAAGATATGGTAAACTGTTTATCTTTTTGTTTGAAATCTGTGTTGTCACCCTTGTTGTTTTTTACAGTGAATGTTGACTGATTGTGCTGCGTGATGTCGTCACTTATCAGTGAAAATATCTTCTCACCTACACTAGACTCACTGGTTCCTCTATAGGATACTTGTCATGAAATTATTTCTGCCAAATTATAAACTTACTTTAATGTTTTCATCACCATGATTTGTCTTGGAGTCTGTAACCAGACCTTCTGAATGAGAACACATTGCATATGTTTTAATTTAAAAAAAAAAACTTTATTAACAAAGTTCATTATCCATAAAAGATAATCATGCTTGTATTTACATCTTTACATATTTACAGTCAATACATATTGACTAAATTAAAGTGGCTTGTGGATAAATAAAACGGAATATAATGTCATATAAGAAATCCTTGCTCAAAATGTTAAGGGAGTTCTGACAGGCAAGTGACAAGTCAATATCTTTAATCCACCTCTTCAATAGTTGGCCCCTGAGCAGCGGCCCCTGATCCTCCGCGTGAGAAGTACCTGTAGTAAAACACAGACACACACACACAAAACAATCGGTATCAGCCAATTGTTGTGCAGTTGTTGAGCAAAGAAAATTTAAATGTCATTATGCCATTATTAGTATTATGACTGTTATCCTCCTGAGACCCTGTGACCTCATATGAGGACACTATATTTTGGTGTATTTCTCTGAGACTATACATGCCACAGTTTACAAGTCTGGATGTCCTGTACAGAGCACATTCAGGGCTTTTCAGAGATACTAAATGTTTGGATGTTTCACTATGACCACTCCCTCTCCTTGGTCTTCAAATATGTCTGATATTAATTTAGTGACACTCTTATGGAAATATGATAATATTTTGTAATTATCATTTAAATCTATCTAATTTTTCAAATCAAAATATGACTTTCTTTTACGAAACAGGATGTTGATTTCATACATGTCCACATATGAGGACACTGGGACTAAAAGCATGTTTATTAGCGTTTTGGGAGACACAACAAATGAATAGGGAAATAAACTGTTTCAATATTCTATGAAATATTATATATTATTCTGAAAATCTTGTCAAATATTACTCCCATTATTACACTTTTTTTCATTACATGTTGCCGCAAAAAACACATTAATATGCAAATTAGATTTAGTTTATAGATACATTGTATATAATGAGAAACCCTGTTTATGGCCATTTTACACAAATTTTGCAGAAACAAAAATGGTATATCAAATCAATATTCTATGAAAAATTATATATTATTCTGAAAATCTTGTCAAATATTACTCCCATTATTACACTTTTTTTCATTACATGTTGCCCCAAAAACACATTAATATGCAAATTAGATTTAGTTTATAGATACATTGTATATAATGAGAAACCCTGTTTATGGCCATTTTACACAAATTTTGCAGAAACAAAAATGGTATATCAAATCATTCTGTTATAACATAGTTGAGAATCATCTTTATACAAAGTTTGGTAAAAAAAAATCCTGTTTTCAATCCTGTGTAATTGTACAGTAGACAACCTGGGGGAAAAATAGTTTTCTGGTACATAATGTATCTATAGGTCTTGTGCTCATATAATAACAATAACCTAAAATAAACAAAGTAAAGTTTGATTTTTTTTTTTCTTTATGCGAAAATTGAATACAACAGGGAACACAGGGAGTACTATTTTCTAGTTTATTTAGGATAATGTAAACTGCCTATATAACATCTAATAAAAGGTACGTATACAAAGTTAATAGTCTGGGAAACATATCAAGTAGACCTATTTGTTTAGTCACTACAGTAAAATAAAGGTGGACTTACCGTAGAGTAATATAATTTTCACCCCGTCGCGGAAAAAGTCAGGTTTGTTGTTTGTTCGTTAGTGTTTCGTTAGCGGCTGCCATCGAAACGCTCTTTAAATACACCAGAGCGCGCACCCGTTCAAACTCTACACACTTCTGGAAGCGTCCAGTGAATCAGACCAATCAAAACACTGCAGGACCCGCGTGCCACTGTTGCGTCAGCTGAGCTGTCACTGAAGCGGCTCAGTGGAAACTTCCGGATGCTTCCAGACTTTTGCTTTGAAATTAGGCCAAACAGAGAAGAATAGGCAAATGAATTGCACTGTCTTTCGCGAACATGTGATTGCTTTAATATACAAATCCACACAAAGTGTGGGTTTATGACTTTGTTTCTAGTGTAGTTTGGTCCGTATATACACACACACACACACACACACACACACACACACACACAGAGAGATAGATAGATAGATAGATAGATAGATAGATAGATAGATAGATAGATAGATAGATGGATGGATGTTGTGGGAAAGCAAAAACCATATTATTTTCTTTAGTTTCATTTATTTATTTATTTACTGTTTGTTTGTTGTCTGTAAAGCTGATTTAGAATACGGTGTTTAAAAAACACTATTAATAAAACCTCTGTCTCTTATGTTCAACAAATTGTCCTTTTGAAACTTTTTTATATCTGCCCCTTTCTTATACATGCACTTGTATGTAATGTTTTATTTATTTTTATAATTCTGCTATATTTACTACTTTTTTCAAAGTCTTTAAAGGTGTCTAAATGACTTCTGTAAAACATAACTTTTATTTAATAATATATTATTAAATAAATATATTAAATTATAATTATAAATGGTCCCTGGACCTCATGTCTCCTGGAAGGCTTCTTAGTTGAACCCTGGCATGAGCTACAGCAAAAAAAAAAAGAGAGACTATGACATAATCTTCCTAACCCTTCATCCAAAAACCCTTCCAACACTAATTAAATGACTTCTTCAAATGCAACACACAGATCCTCACACATACAAAATATGTTTAATTACTAATAGTGGAATTATGCAATTCATCTTAAGAGCGCAACACCATCTGGAGTTACTAAAGAGATATTGAATGTCAAACTGTAGCACAAAAGTACATGAGATGACCCTTACTTTACTGCTCATATCTGATTCCACTGTTACAAAGAAGTTTGACGTTCAATACATCCCCAAGATTAAAACAAGACAAGGACCACAGGCAACACTGTCCAGCATGGCCAAGTGACTGCAAACATGTACACAAGTGTTTATGCATATGAGTTATAAGTGGATGAAATGAATATTCTTTTTTAAATAAACCGTTCTTTGACATAGCGATAGATAAATGCCACTTTAAGGAATATTCTGGGTTCAATACAAGTTCAGTTAACAGCATTTGTGGCATAATGCTGCTTTAAAAAAAAAATTTCAACTTATTAAAAAAAAAAAAAAACTAAATATATTTGTAATTATTATTTGAAACGTAAAGCTGTTTAATAATAATGTACACAGTTTATGTGGTTTCAGGCTTTTCGTTTACGTTTTCACATTAAAACCACATCATAGAAAATAGCTAGGACTGAACTACACGATGATGCCGTTTTGAGGGAGGAGCCGTTCCGCTGTGCAGGTTTTTGATTGGTCGAACTCGCTGGCGCTTTCGAGAAACTTCAACAGAGCTCTGCCGGAGAATATAAAACACGACTGATTCCATTTCTTCAGTATGTACTTCGGGACAGTTCAGAACGAAGACAAGAGAGACACAACGAAGTGTACTATTTAGACAAGGAACCGCAATTACGCCCGACAGAAAATATCTAATTCTTTCAAGGTAAGTTAAATTTCTCAAATTTACCAATGTTCTTTTTTTATGTTTAAGCCATAAACGTGAACAGTTACACCAATAGCTTGAAATCAGACATGAAATGTATACAGTAAATTATGTTTTATCCTACACTCATCAGTTTCACGATTAAATATCCACAAATATGTGATTAAGAGTTGCCTAATGAATCAATATTTTTGAGTGTTTATTGTTATTATATTTAATAAAACATTATTCTCGTTTTTCAAATGATTAGTGTGAACATAATAACATAATAAATAATTATTTATATAGAGACAATTATCCAAAACAAATTACTTTAACATTCATTTTATAAAGAAAGTTTGTGGTTTTACATCACAATTTTTTTCTAATTTCTTTTGCTTGTTGAATACAGGTTTACATTAAAACAATCAAACATGTCATCTGCAAAAGGAGTTGCTATTGGAATTGACCTGGGCACCACCTACTCCTGTGTGGGGGTGTTTCAGCATGGAAAAGTGGAGATCATCGCCAATGACCGGGGGAACAGAACAACACCCAGCTATGTCTTTAAGGAATATTCTGGGTTCAATACAAGTTCAGTTAACAGCATTTGTGGCATAATGCTGCTTTTAAAAAACATTATTCAACTTTCTAGAATAATGAACGTTTTTATTTTTATTTGAGTTGTAAAGTCAAATAATAATTTATACACTTTTTATGGTTTTAGGCTTTTCATTTACAACTTATCAAGTTGTTAAATTAGATAAACCTTTACACAGAAAAGGTTAGTAAGCGTTTTTCCCCCCACACTAAAACCGCAATATAACATAATTATATCTTGTGGTGATACTATTGAAACATTAAGTATTTTAAGATTCACTGTAACCCACCGTCTTGTTTTTTTTAGAGAAAAGGATTGACGTGGAATTATTGTGGCAATCATCATTAACGTTTTTGATTGAGCATAACTTGTACTGAACCCAGAAAATGACTTCTATTGAACTGAAGCCATTCGTTTAGTCATCAGTAACACATTCAACCGTCATTGTAACAGCTGCTGATGAGTTAATGAGCACTGATTTAAGATGCTGATTAGGGCAATTATGTTGCCATCAGGCATGTGTGTCTCTGCTGTGACTGGAGCCAATAAGCCACATGTGCATGAATGTGAGCATTTCAGGAAGAGTGTGAAGCCACCACGTGTGAAGAACAACATTTCAGGCCCTTTCCCTATTAAGTTTAAGCAGTGTCCCTTGGCATGACAAGGACAGCCCTTTTGGGCTAAAGCATGCTAATCAAAACATGCCCCATCACAGAAAATACAACCTCAAGAATGGAAGAACAATAAAAAACCCTCGTCAAAACATGAGCGGGACAGTAAAAAGGATTTGCATACACGTATAGCATGGACACATGACATGCTTTTAAAAACATCCTGGTACATCTCCATGATCCATACAGTACATTTAGCTGTTTGTTCCATAGTAACACTAAATGTCATCCTAATTGTATAGGAACAAATATTGTTACTTAATAGTGGACAACTGCACCTTCTAATTTATTATTAGACAAATAGATGCCCGAGTGTATTTCTATACTCACACCCATGCAGAATGCATACTGTTTACCTCTAAGCTGATCCCGCCCAGTGCTGTTTACACATTCTACAACCACATATACACTCAAAAACCAACTGAACATAGTAGAATATTTATAAAATAAATGGTAGTAAACAGCATTAAATGCTTATCATCGACCACCAGGTTTAAGTGTTTCCTTTTTAGCAGAGAAAAATGGCAACTGATAAAGAGAGAATGTGCAAAATTATCTACAGTAAGTTCTAGAAGATATACGTGTTTGGATCCTATAAGAACTGTTTTATGTCAAGTGACACAGGTGTGCGTGGGTGTGGGTGTGTGTGTGTGAGTTCTAGACTTACAACTAATCAACAAAGTTACTGTAAACAAGCCTGCGAAAGTTGTCTTTCTGTCATTTTTCGGCATTCTCACATTTGGTCTTCATTCTTGCACATATGCAAAATGTGTATAAACGTACATTTTATCATTACTGAATATTTATAATGTTAAGGAAGATTTTTGTCGAAGTATCGTGAAAGCATAACTAACTAATCTGCTCGTTATTGTTAAAAATATTTTTAGATTAATCTGTCAGTCTTTGCCCACTTTAAGCCTGGCTCACACTACAGGAGTTTTAAAATCCTAACCGATTATGAAATCTGGTTGCAGCACACACATAAGGAGAATCTTTGCAGATTATCTTGCCTCAAATCTTAAACATGCACACACTACAAGATTTTAACATCGTGGCGCATCACACACTACAAGATATTATTAAGATTATCATGCCAGAGGGAGCGCCTCACGTGATCTCACGCAGCAGATCATCATTGATATTTCAGTGATGTTTACATATGTTAGCTAGCGTGCTAGCTGCTTTCTACACTCACCCGGTACATTCAAAACTGAGGCGATTTCACTCCAGTGCTTCGCTTTCTCCTTACAGTTGTGATACGTTTTCGACACATTATACAGACAGTCGTTTTACTATAAAACGTCAAGAAGCAGTTTCCTCCGTCTCCACTATCCAACGGGGCCGCCCGTACAGCAGCTGTTTTGCGGTCGCGCATTGGCTATTGTGAGAGTACTGATGTAATCATATAGCCGTCATCATCCCGATTTAAATCCTAAATATCAAACATGTTTGATATGATCGGGGTGGCCCCGATTTGTGTGCGAGCAGATTGGGAGGTGCAAGATTCGATCGGTGAATGCCTCACATTACCAGATAATCCGCGCCGAACATCGGGACCGATCGAGGTGCTCGACAAGATTTTTGCTCCGATTCACAGGAGGGGGAAATCGGGGCTAAATCGGGCTAAAAATCCTATAGTGTGAGCCAGGCTTTAGTTAGATTTTTGTTGAACTTTCGTTTTTTGAGTTTGTGTTAAAACAGCTACATTGTTCAGGCTGGTCACTGGAGAAATTCACAAAACAAAACATAAAACAAGTGTGTAAGAAAACACACTATTACAAGTGTAAAAAAAAACAAAATTAAATAAAATACAAAATTAAAATGCATTTTGATGATTACTTAATGTAAAAATATTGACAAAATAATTGTAGTATTAGAATTCTATAGGCTATAGGCTACATGAATATGCAACTGGCAATAAAACTACTATGATTTATTAAATATATTTAAGGGGGGGGGGGGGGGTTTAAAATGGTGTTTC